AAAGAACGCCACAGATGCTGAGCACCGGTCCAACACCAACCGATCCCCGTACTTCCTTCAGAGGCTCTGCAATGCCCCCTACGCCTTCCAGTGCTTCCCTTGATCAGCCCCCAAAGGTGTGCCAGGAGACAACTTCCGACATGCAACCGGGCCCATAGGGTTTAGGGTTTAGGGTTTAGGGTTTAGGGTTTAGGGTTTAGGGTTTAGGGTTTAGGGTTCAGGCTTGCTAGACAAAGCCGCGGCTCAGGGGCACCACAAAGGGGATGAAGGGTTCCCTCCTCGACTCCCCAGCCCGATAAGTTTGTTACAAACTTAGTGGGGGGGGGGGGGGGTGTAGGCAATTTCGGGGTTCGCTAAACCCTCAACCCTCAACCCTGAAGTCTTCGGGGTTTAGGGGTTTAAGGGCTTAGGGGTCACCCTGAACCCTAAACCCTAAATCCTAAATCCTAAACCCTAAACCCTAAGCCCTTAGGGCTTAGGGGTCTTAGGGGTCGAGGGGGCACGTTCTTTTGCTTCCCCCACAGTAGGCCTCGGGGACCGGCTCCTTCACCGCCGCGGAGGTGTAGCCGCCCAAAGCTGCAGGAATTTTGGGGTTCAGGGTTCAGGGTTTAGGGTTCAGGGTTTAGGGTTTAGGATTCAAGGTTCAGGGTTTAGGGTTTAGGGTTCAGGGTTTAGGGTTCAGGGTTCAGGGTCTAGGGTTTAGAGCTCATAAACCTCTCATCCCTCACTAACGCCTAAACCCTAGGGCCTTTACAAGAGCCAAGGAAAAAGTCCGATGAACCAAACGCAGCGCAACTTTCTAGGAGGATGCCTCGTATAAAATGGGGGCTTACGATACTAGGGGTACCTTATTGGGGTCCTTATTATAAGGGGATCCTACTATTTGGGGACCTATATTGGGGGGCCCCGTAGTATCGTAAACCCCTCCTCCCCCCAGCCCCCCTACCCCCAGCTGCCGCTCCAACCCTCGTACCCTAACCGCCTTCCATTCCCCGCTCAAACTCCGTCGCCTTTTCTGTCTTGGTGACCCCTCCCCTAAACCCTATACCCTATACCCTATACCCTAAACCCTAAACTCTAAACCCCTAAACCCTATCCCATCCTCAACCACCCTAACCCGAGAACCGAAGGAAGAGCAGGCCCTGTCCTGGGTGAAGTGGCTCTCAGGGGTCGTAGGCACTCCCGACATGCACCCCCTCTCAACACCCGCGATTTAGGGTTTGGGATCCCGGTTTACGGTTTAGGGTTCCAGAGGGATTTATAGGGTTTGTAGGGTTCACGGGGTTCGTACGGTTTACACGGTTTCGAGGGTTCGTAGGGTTTGTAGGGTTTATATACATAGGGCTTGTAAGGGTTCAGAGGGTTTGTGGGATTTGTAGGGTTTGTAGGGTTTGTAGGGTTTATTTATACATAGGGCTTATAAGGGTTCAGAGGGTTTGTGGGATTTCTAGGGTTTATAGGGTTTGTAGGGTTAGGGTCTGCAGCCTGGAATCGCCGATGGCGTCATCTTCCGGGCCTGGAACTCCTCAGGCTTAGGGTTTTAGGGTTTAGGGTTTAGGGTTTAGGGTTTAGGGTTTAGGGTTTAGGGTTTAGGGTTTAGGGTTTAGGGTTTAGGGTTTGGGGTTTAGGGTTTTGGGGTTTGGGGTTTGGGGTTTAGGGTTTAGGCCCGTTTAGGGTTTAGGGTTTAGGGAATAAGGGTTTAGGGCCAGAAGGGCCGAAACGACTCCAGTACCCCGTTATGATGGAACATTAAGGGTTTAGGATTTGGGGTTCAGGGTTTCAGGGATTTAGGGTTTAGGGTTTAAACCAATGTACTCTGAAACCGGTAAATTCCTGAATTCAGGGGTATTGGGCTCTCTGGGCAGTAAGGTAAGAAGGGGTCGGGTGGGGGGGGGGGGAGGTGGATGAAGGGGATGAAGGGGATGAAGGGGATGAAGGGGATGAAGGGGATGAAGGGGATGAAGGGGATGAAGGGACAAAGGAGTAAATGAAACCTTAAACCCTAAACCCTAAACCCCTTGGTGCGGGCGCTGAATCAGAACCCCTACCAATTCCCTCAAGCTTGTCCTGGCAGGGTTATAGGGTTATAGGGTTTAGGAGTTTAGGTTTTAGGGTGCTTCCTGATAATGAAATGGGGGGTCCCCAACGGTGCACCCAAAACCCGAAACTCATGGTTTCAGGAATATTCCCTAAGTAACGGGTGCCCATTGCAGCCGGCCTACATCAGCACATCCTCAACTACGTGGGTCTAGGGATTGAAGTTCAGGGTTTGGGTTTAGGGCTTTCGGGCTAACCTTTTGGAGATTGTATCCCAATCGCATCGAGCTACGATACCAGTGCCCGAAGAAGCTCGTCTAGAGAGTTCGGAAATAGGGTGGTGGTTCTATGAGTAGATGGTCCGTCCATTCTGGAAACCCTAAATCCTAAAGCTACGTAAATCCTAAACCCTAATGCAACCCATAAACCCTAGACTCTCAACCCACAGCCCTGCCTGACATGCCAACCTGGCGATCTCCTCTGCGGAGGCCTGCCAGAGAGTGTCTAAGACCTAAGGGTTCAGGGATCGGGCTGCGGGGCTGCTCGTGTAAAGTATGGTCTAGTTTTTCGGGCTTAGAGTTTTAGGCCAAAGTGGCACAAACTTGCACTTGCTCTAGGAACCCTATGTGCGCGCTTAGTTGCAGTTCCTGTTGTGGGTAGCTAACTTTGCGAGTCGTTTGTATGGTCAGAGAAGAAATAGGTATTCTCGACCACATAACACTGCTAAGTTTGATAATTCGAGCCGGACGGTGCCTAGAACTGTCTACATTGCAGCTGCAGCAGCAACTATAAGCTTGCTGACTTCGCTGCATTCCTCTTGCCAACGACTCCTGCAAACAATCCACGGCTTTGCAGCACTACTACTCGGGTGAAGAGCCCCTGGTTCTTAGTAGGGAATGAGGGAATTCGGGCCCCATTTTATACACCCTTTTAAGGGGTTATATAGGGTACCTCATTCCCTCCTTCCCTACGACGAGCCAGCCAGAAGACACAAGGGGACCAAGCAAGAGTCCGACGAACCTTCGACCCCTCCCGCTTACGTCTTCTGAATCCTTGGGGCCCATGGGCCTATATGCAACGGTTTAGGGCTTGGGGTGTAGGGTTTAGGGTTTATATAGGGTTTAGGGTTTAGGGTTTAGGGTTTAGGGTTTAGGGTTTAGGGGCATATACTTGGGCCCCAATTGAGACTATAGTTATCAAGTATAATGTAAGAAACGCTTTCAGGCCAAAGTATGTACTGTATAGGTGCATGGGCCCTTGGAAGAAGTTGTTTCCCAACCTCCCGCAAACTGCGCTCAACCATGGCCAAGGCAGCAGGCGCATTCCAAGCCAGCAGGTCAGCTTCTAGGATTGCCCTTAGAACCCTCTGAAAAATATTCCTGAGTATGACCCTCTTAAACCAAAGAAGAAACCCAAACAACAACAAACAGCATACATATATATATATATATATACATAATATCCTAAGGGCCTACCTGGGCTTTGTGCAGGCTCGATAGATTTGTGCTTCTGGTTCGGTAACGGCTTCGTGCATTTGACTTCGCAGCAGCACTGTTAGTTACTGCTAGTTGCCCTGCGAGAGATGCATGCAACATCAAGCAGCACGAACATGACTCCAACCCCATGATGGCAATTTGGCGATTGTGCCGCGATTCGTGGCTTAATCAGTGGGGACGCTTAGGTTTAGGGTGTAGGGTTTAGGTGTTGGGTTTCGGGCTTAAGCTTGCAAAGAAGTTGCTTGAGCCTTCCCATGCTCAATGTCAGACATGATGCACGGGACTCAATCAAATCATAGCACTGCTCTGGCTTTACAACTGCAGAAGTTGTGTCGCGGCGTCATGCCATGGTGTTCCCCGTACACTCTCATTCTTGTGTAACCACATGACCCCCTGCAGCTTGTGAGAGCTCCGTTCCTCTTAGGGTTTAGGGCTTTGGGGTGCAGAAGCCAGTCTTTGTACTGTTCACCATGCAAGGCGGGCTTCTTCTTTCACTTGCTTTGGCTGATGAGTAGGGAACGACACACATGGAACGACTTTTTTCAGACCTTGCTTGTGGACGTCCTTGCAACAGGACAGCACAAGGGAAACTCCAACAAAAGGTACCTTTTTTTCCAGGTCAATCCTATCTTCCAAATCCCTACACTGTAACTACTAATTGCGAGGACCCCCCCCCCCCCCCAAGAAAAAAAAAAAACACACACACACACACAAACTATTTTCCTTCAACGGGCAATATAGGGATTTCTAATATTTTTCTTATTTTTTGGGGGTTTTTTAAACTTCCAAATCCCTAAACTGCAACTACTAATTGCTTAGGAACCCCCCCCCCAAAAAAAAATAATATATATATATATATATAATAATAATAAACAAATAAACAAATAAATAAATAACAAATTATCTTCTTTTATAAGGGCATTATAGGGATTTCCATTCAACAAAAAATTGGGAGGATATTTTAGCAAATAGTAGCTAATCATCCCCGAAGCCCTGAGCCAATCTCAGGCTCAAAGGCTTCAGTACTTTAGGAGCTCATTTGCACGGGCGACGGCTCAAGGCTTGGGGGTTTCGGGCATTTGGGGTCTACTTGGGAGATCCGCATGTCACAGCTTAAGGCACGCCGGTTTTGACGTAGCGGGCCCGTTCCATAACTGGTTCACCAGCAAGTAGGAGCCCGATAACACGCGAGCATATGCCGCGTGCTTCGCCCCGGATGTCCACGTGCTACAAAATTCGTGGATCAAATGGCAGTGGCTTTGCAACAGACTCCATACAGAGGAAAAACAATCTTGTGGGTTGTTCGGTCTTGGTCCGAAGATGCCCCCTAGCAGCTAGCATTCTAGCTTGAGTCTAGCATTCTGTGAAACCCCATTAAGCTCTGTGAAACCCTATTAAGCACTAAGTCCCGGTCCAAAATAACTCAGAACAACCCCCCTGGGTTAAAATACAGCACAATGAATGCGCTCAGCGGTCGACGGTGCCCTTTCCGACCCCGACCACGGCGGCACCCGTGGGGTAGCTCACGTCGTAGAGGATGCCGCAGGTGCCGCACCTAGACCCAGGAGAAACCTAGGAATCTACAGGGTACCCCCTTTTTTGGTTCTAAGGGCCTCATAAGGGAACCCCAACCCTGAAAAAGAAATAAAGGAAACAAGGGCCAACTGAGGGTTTAGGGTTTAGGGTTTAGGTTTAGGGTTTAGGGTTTAGGGGTTTAGGGTTTAGGGTTCCGAGTCCTAGGCACACTTTCACAGGCGTGTCCGGATCAGCTTCGCAGGCGCTCCCGTGGTGGGGAGTCGAGTCCATGCCGCAATACTTCTTGTCCTGCCTCTCCTGGGCAGGGTTTAGGGTTTAGGGTTTAGGGTTTAGGGTTTAGGGTTTAGGGTTTAGGGTTTAGGGTTTAGGGTTTAGGGTTTAGGGTTTAGGGTTTAGGGTACTCAGGGTAGTACTTGGAGGATCATGGGACTTGGGTTTTTTCGTAATTGTAACTCTAGCTGCCCTACTTATAACCGAAATTACTAAGTCCCCTGATCCTTTAAGCAGGGTTTACTCAGCAAACATCGAGGAGTCTTCAGCGCCTTCAGGAAACGACGCGGGAACACGAAACCCTGCATGCCCAACCGTCAGGACGCAACAAGGCACAACCGAGGGGATGCTGTGACACCCAAAATGTACACAGGGTTTAGGGTTTAGGGTTTAGGGTTTAGGGTTTAGGGTTTAGGGTTTAGGGTTCAGGGTTTAGGGTTTAGGCTGACATTGGAACACAAGCATGACCCTGAACATCTGAGAACAACATGTCTGAAGTAGGGTTTATCTTTCCTTGTACCCGCAAAGGACACCCAAAATATACACAGGGTTTAGGGTTTAGGGTGCAGGGTTTAGGGTTTAGGGTCCGTATATACACTCACCAATCGCAGGAATATAAAACCCTGCTTCTTGTGCCGATCTTGTCCTTCTCATGTGTCGACGGTAATTCTGTACTTCCCTAGGAAAGCCCTCAACAAGACTCTCTGAAAGATGTTCAGGGTTTAGGGTTTAGGGTTTAAGGTTTGATTCAATTCTCTTAAACCCCACAGGGGACAATGGCTCGTGCAGCGCACTGGGAAAAAAGTGTGGGCATCCAAAACAACCGGGTTGTTTTAGGGTTTAGGGTTTAGGGTTTAGGTCCTAAACCCCAAACCCCAAACCCTAAACCCTAAACCCTAAACCCTAAAAAACAACCTCACACCGAAGCACCAGCCCCTAGGCCCAGTCTCCAGCCGGATGTAGCCTTTCTCGCCCCACGTTGCGCCCCACGAGTTCCTCCACAAGTTTAGGGTTTAGGGTTTAGGGTTTAGGGTTTAGGGTTTAGGGTTTAGGGTTTAGGGTTTAGGGTTTAGGGTTTAGGGTTTAGGGTTAGGCAAGCTTCAGTGCTCAAGGCTCTCCAGGGGCAGGGCTAAGGCGGCTAAGGGCTTAGGGGCCATGAGAACCCCCTATAGAAGCAATCGCAACACTTGTGTTGGGGGGCCCTAAGCCCTAAGCCCTAAGCCCTAAGCCCTAAGCCCTAGCCCTAAACCCTAAACCCTAGACCCTAAACCCAAACCCTAAACCGCGTCTTGTCCTCACAGTCCAGTACATCTTGCCATCCTCCTCGCCAAATCCAACAAGGCCGACAGCATGGTCCTCAACTTGGTGAGAGTTCTACCAGACCTCCAATTAGGGTTTAGGGTTTAGGGTTTAGGGTTTAGGGTTAGTTCCCTTCTTGGTTGCTGAATGGCTGTTCTTCGCATATCCTCACGAAGAAATACGTATCCCAAAGAAGGGAGCTGCAAGCGGAGATGCAGGTACAATTGGCTCCGGGTCAGGTTGGGGGTGCTTTTGGACCTCTCTGCACTAAACTCACGGAGTCGTGCCTTACTTGGAGCTTCATGGGCAATTCGAAGTAAGGTTAAGAGTACCCTACATAGGGTTAGAAGTATAGTTACCATAAATGTAACCCTTACCCTAAACCCTAAACCCTAAACCCTACTTATAATTTACCCATGAAACTCCAAGTACCAAGTCATGTACACATCGAGGGACCCTTCTCATGATGGGATACTCAGGGAGCCCAATACCCCAATGAGGAATGGGCTTAGGGCTTAGGGTTTAGGGTTTAGGATTTAGGGTTGGGTTTAGGGTTTAGGGTTTAGGGTTTAGGGTTTAGGGTTTAGGGTTTAGGGTTTAGGGTTTAGGGTTTAGGGTTTAGGGTTTAGGGTTTAGGGTTTAGGGTTTAGGGTTTAGGGTTTAGGGTTAGGGTTTAGGGTTTAGGGTTTAGGGTTTAGGGTTTAGGGTATAGGGTATAGGGTTTAGGGTTTAGGGTTTAGGGTTTAGGGTTTAGGGTTTAGGGTTTAGGGTTTGACAAACTCCTTATGACTCCCTTGAAGGGTGTTGGGCTTGAGTCGAAACCTTATGACTCCCTTAAAGGGTGTTGGGCTTTGATAGATTCCTTGTGACTCCCTTAAGGGGTGTTGGGCTTCAGTCGATTCCTTACGACTCCCGTAGAAGGGTGGTTGGACTTTAGGGTTTTGGGTTTAGGGTTTAGGATTTAGGATTTAGGAGTTAGGGTTTAGGGTTTTAGGCTAAGCCCAGCAACGATGTCAACATTCTTCTTGATGCTGCAAGGGTTGGCGATGCCGGAGCTGTAAGGACTCCAATGCGAGGCGTCCACGGAGATGGCAAGCGGCCCATAGTTCACAAGGGCGTGCATGACGGCCTGGCTGACAAGGGAGCCCGATTTACTACACCCCCCTTTAAGGAGTACCTAGACCCTTGGTGAATACTAGTATGCCTCAACCCTAAACCCTAAACCCTACACCTACACCATAAACCCTTAGCGCTTATGATGGAATTTAAGGTCAAAGGGCTCAGTTGAGGGGTTTTGAGCTCACACGGACCGCTCTCTGTTCTTTCAGCTCCGAGTTCGGATGCCCCACGGGGATCTGGAGTGTAGAGTTTAGGGTTTGCAAGGGTTTAGGGTTTAGGGTTTAGGGCTATTGCAAAAAACTTGACAACAAAACAAACTTGACAACACAGGGCCAGGCTTCTTCGTAGGAGTTTGTCTCCGTCTTGACCCAGCCCTCGATCGTCACCATCTTGTAAGCCATGGCGCGGTATTTCATCGTGTCGCTGCACTTGGGCTCGTCGCCGAAGAAAGAGACATATGGGATCCTTGGTGAACCCACTCCCTTGCCCCCATTATGATCCCTATTCAGGACTGCTAGTACAAGGGGGAACATCACTCCAGCGTTTCGGTAGCTTAACGAGGCATAGCAAGGACTTAAAGAAGTGGCAATCAGTGCAGGGAAGTTGCATGTTTTTAATACCTTTCGTGCAGAAAGCAGGTAGTCCTAGTCCTGCAGCACATGAGTGTTTAAGATGTTTCAGTCGCGGCGCAGCGACAGACCGTGCAACTCCGGATAAAATGATTCTGACCCCTGGTTTGTCCTGCACCCCATGAACGAACGAACCCTTTAGTCACATAGTAGATCAGGGGAGCTCTCAGGGGCTACATAAACCAAGGTACCTATAGTCCTCCAATTGCAGTTCCTTTCTTTAGACTCATCCTCACCCTGAACTACCCCCCCCCCCCCCCCCCAAACAGGCAACTACAATTGGAGATCCCCAAAACACTAATACAAAACCCTAGACCCCAAACCCTAAACCCTAGGGCTCAGGACCTCTTCAGCATTGCACCGGGCTCCAGCCACCCTAAACCCTAAACCCTAAACCCTAAACCCTAAACCCTAAACCCTAAACCCTAAACCCTAAACCCTGCCCAAGTGGCACGTCCTCGTAGGTCATCCCATACTTTTTGATGTAGTCCATGGCCAGCTCGGACGTCGAGCCTCGGCTCGCAGCCACTACAGGAAGTACCCCGAAACATCCCTAAAGAGGGTTTTGGGTTTGGGGTTTAGGGTTTAGGGTTTAGGGTTTCGGGTTTAGGGTTTAGGGCAAACCCTTAAGAAACCCGAGTTCCTGCGGTGGACTCCCAACCTGAAGCCTTGAGTTCTCCGACGGGAGAAACCCTAAACTCTAAACCCTAAACCCTAAACCCTAAACCCTAAACCCTAAGAGGGGAGACGCTCCCCAAGGCATCTTCATGGCGGGGGCGCCATTCTCGAAGTTCAGGGCCAACTTGCGGGGTTTAGGGTTTAGGGTTTAGGGTTTAGGGTTTAGGGTTTAGGGTTATTGAACCCCAAAAGGTCGGCCCTAGACTTCTGTCAGGTCATTCCCAAAAAATAGAACCCCCAAAAGTTGGGCCCTATACTTCTGGTGGGTCATTCTTAGGAACCTTTAAGGGGATCGATTTTTGGGGATCCTCCCAAAGTCTGGGGGCCGTGCTCAGATGTCGTTTGCTACTATTTGCTTAGGCACACCAAAAAAAACATGAAATACATAGTCCCCCGAATACCCTTATAGGGAAGAATACATTTTTTATCTTTTGGGGGTTCTTAAGCAAACAGTACCTGCTGAGGTTTATACTGAAAAACCCTAAACCCTAAACCCTAAACCCTAAACATCTGATGCAGCCTCGGAACCGTCGCAGCCGCCAGTGCCGCCGCAATGGAACTTGTTCTCCTGAGCTCGAGTTGTCCGCTGCTGGCATGTGGGGTTTAGGGTTTAGGGTTTGAGGTTTGGTGTTTAGGGTTTAGGGTTAGGTTGGGGATTCAGGGATCCGGTGCCCTTCGTGGCAGCATGGGTTTGTATCAGGTCTCGGCTCTCAAACTCTTTGGGCTTCAACCTCACAAGCTCAGCCAGCACCCAGACCCCCGGGAAAATCAAAAAAAGCAGATCCCCGTTTAAGGGTTCCTAAGAATGACCCAATAGTAGTAGTAGTAGTAGTAGTAGTAGTAGTAGTAGTAGTAGTAGTAGTAGTAGTAGTAGTAAACGTATAGGGCACGCTCTACTTTAAGTGGATCCTCCAAGCTGCCTGGGACATGAAAGCGTGCACATCTTGGGGGAGAGAGCTCGTCGCATCGAAAAGAGTGACTCATCTAGAGCGGTCACTCGTGCTTCCAGGATGGGCTAGTATACCCCTTTAGGGTTTAGGGCCTAGGGTCTAGGGTTTAGGGTTTAGGCTCCTCAAAAGGCGGTTTGAGCGATTTTTTGTTTTGTTGCGGTGCTTTTTTTGTTGGTGCGGGGCGCGCTTCTTTTTTTGCTGTGGATGCGGGGCGCCTTTTGTTTTTGCTGCGGGTGCGGGGGCAGTTTCTTTTTTATGCGGGTGCACGGGGGTGGGGGGGGGGGGGTCTTGTTTTGTTTTCTTGCTGCGGGTGCGGGTGCGACGCGCGCCAGGACACTCACTCATGTGGCTCCCGAAAACAAGCCCACAGCAAAGAAGCACCCACAACAGCAAACAACTAAAAAATCACGGGTTCGAATAAAAGGCCTTCATAGGGTTTACTATGGGGATTACACCCAGAGACTCCAAAACCCCTTAATTAAGGAATATACCTTAAATTCATATAAGGGATTCCTATTATAACTTAAAGAATATTCCCCCATTACAAGGCCGAATAGCCTATCCTGGTTCATGACTCATTTAAGGGGTATAAGCAAGGACCGCTGGAAGGGGCCCTTCATCGTATTCCCCCCTCCTTTGGTCCCTTGACTCGTGCTTCATGGCATCTTCAACAGCCATGAGCAATCCTTCTGCTCACCCTAAACCCTAAACCCTAAACCCTAAACCCTAAACCCTAAACCCTAAACCCTAAACCCTAAACCCTAAACCCTAAACCCTAAGAGCCGGCCAAACGCCAAGGCCAAGATCCTGGTCCTCCTAAGGGGTATAAGGAGGGAAACCTAGAAGGGACCCTTAACCTTATTCCCCTACATAACCCCCTCAACCCTAAACCCTAAACCCGAAACCCTAAACCCTAAACCCATCTAAGCCCCCTTTATAACCCGTATATAGTCCCCTAAGGGGGCTTAAAGGGCGGGGGGAGGGGGGCTGAAGGGGGGGCTGATGGGGGGGCTGAAGGGGGGGGTAGTCCCTGCTCCTAAAAACCCTCAAAAAAATGCCTATAGGTCCCTAATAAGGGTCCACCCTTTGGTCCCTTGATCCTCTGAACGCCGGGATCGTAAACCCTAAACCCTAAACCCTAAACCCGAAACCCTAAACCCTAAACCCTAAACACCAAACAACCCTAAACCCTGAACCCTGAACCCTGAACCCTAAACCCTAAACCCCAAACAACCCTAAACCCTGAACCCTAAACCCTAAACCCTAAACCCTAGACCCTAAACCCTAAACCCTGCACTCCGAGCTTCGGCGCACGTCACGAGCTGCTGGGGGGAGAGGATTGTCAGCCTCGGTGGAAGCTGCCAATTCGTGGCGCGCGCGCCCGCCCGAAAAGCCAGAACGGCATGACGACATACCCTAAACCCTCAACCCTAAACCCGAAACCCTAAACCCTAAACCCCAAACCCTAAACCCCAAACCCTAAACCCTAAAGATGCTGGCGACTCTGAGCCTGAATGGAGCCTTACTCCTGACGCAGGCTTGCGAGTTTCTGCGGGTCGAGTGAGCTTGCGCGCAGACGCATGGAATCGGTTTAGGGTTTAGGGTTTAGGGTCTAGGGTCTAGGGTTTAGGGTTTAGGGTTTAGAGTCTAAGGTTTAGGGTTTAGGGTTTAGGGTTTGTGGTACGACTTTCGGGCAGCGTTAAGCAGTCTCAAGCGACAGCTCATGATCTTCAACCTACCACATACTTAGAACGGCCACCAAGCAATATAACTTAGACCACGCCCCTAAACGCCAGAAACGCCCCAACTACGAATTGCATAAGAATCCCCAAAACACTTCCTTATAAGGGTAATATTGGAATCCTAAACCCTAAGCCCTAAACCCTTTTGGGGTTCTTCAGCAAATCGTAGCCAACTCATGCGCTTCCAAAGCACACTCCGGACGCGATGGCAGCGTGGCTCTCGACGACGCCTGGCCCAAAAGCCGAAGTCCGGGAGGTCTAGGTTTCAGGGTTTAGGGTTTATGGGGTTTAGGGTGTATGGGGTTTAGGGTTTAGGGTTCAGGGTTTAGGGTTGTTTGGGGTTTAGGGTTTGGGGTTTAGGGTTGGTTGGGGTGTTTCTGCTGCTGCCCCTTCCTTCTCTCAACTCTAGGCAGGGCCGATACGGGTAGGGCCGATGAGGCTGTCTGAAGGGGTCCATAGGTTTAGGGTTTAGGGTTAAAAGGGTTCAGGGTTTTAGGGCTAGAAAAATGATTCGGCTTTTGCACACTAACCCTCCTTAAATCCCTTGCGTTTTGGTTACCGGGAGCCACGTCTCCTCACGTCGCTTCTTTCTGAACCTCGTGCTGCAGATTCAGGCCCTACTGAGCCCTACTGAACAGAGGCACAAGTTGCCACAATTCCAGACCCTGCTTAACCCAACCAACATGAGAAAGCTAGAGCCTTGATGATTCCATTTAGAGCATCCTGTATACTACTGTATACAGCACTACGTACGCGGTGCCCTGAAACTACAACCGGGATTGCAATGTAGGCGGGTTGCGGACACACGTGACACAAAATCACCCACACTCTGAGTATCTTGGTCTGAACATGGGGCGGGCACGTGAACAGGGTTGGATGTTGTAGGTGATTGCCTCGACCTGATTAGGGTGTAGGGTTTAGGGATACTTCACCCAAAGCCGAGTTCCCAGGGGCAACACCCAGAGGCGGCGAAGCTTCCTTAAAAGGCGCTGCAACTGTGCCGGGCCATGCGGCTTTCCCGTCAAGACGTTGGATGACGAGCAAACGACGGGGACATGCCAGGACGTCGCGCTTGACTACTATTTGCTTAAGAACCCCAAAATAATAAAACATGATACTTGGAGGTTCATGGTACTTGCTAGCCACTTATAACTGGGCTTATAACCCTACTTATAATTGGGATAACCCCTGTAAGGCCCTTTAAAGGTATTATAAGTAAGGTTATAAGTACAGTTATAGTTGGTTAGTAAGTAACCTCCAAGTAATCCCTATATTAACCTTAATAAGGAATAATATTTTCCATTTTTCGGGGTTCTTAATAAACTAGTAGTTGACAGGCTGGATGTGAAAGCGTCAGACGCCACCAACAACGGGAAGGCCAACATCCTGATCAACGCAGGGCATCCCACCCGGACTTGAAGGGTTTCAGGGTTTAGGGTTTAGGGTGGTTCATGGGTAATTAGAAGTAAGGTTATATAGGTACCCTAGATAGGGGCAAACAGTATTGTTACCACCAATTGTAGCCCTACTTATGCTTACCCATGGACCTCCAGAGGGCAACAGAGGTGCTCTGCAAACACGCGGTGACATGCAAACCGTCATCAGGGCGTGTAACCAGCAAGACCATTGCGCGTGCCACCAACGCCAGCGGGAAGACCAAGATCAAGCTTTGTCTGGCGTTTGCGAAGATTGTGTACATGTTTTTGCCAGCACACGAACTCGTCTTGAAACGTTGTGGGATGCAAATTGCTGCAGTGGCTTGATTTCGCTGAATCTCAGATTTCTGCCTTAGCCTGCGTGCGCACTGTGCCTCGGCTCGAAGCTGTGACGTGAGCGCAACAGCCTCTCGGTGTTGCTGGGCACTTGGAAGGAATGTGGGTGCCCAATGCCCACTTCCTGCGCAGCGTGGACGTATACCATGTCACTGCGCCGCCTGTTGGGCGGGGATGGTTTGCGGCCGAGGCTGCCTGTGAGATCCCCGGTTGTTGGGTTTCGGCAATTTTAACTGGGCGTTGCATGCCTTAAGAACCCGAAACCTACTTTTTTGTAGGCTTTTACTATAAAACCCCTTCTAGGATTGTTAGTTAACCTACAAAAAAAGTAGGTTTTGGGTTCTTAAGGTGTTGCTGAAACAAGTGCCAATCGATGGATATCTTGTCCATGCAGCTGCGGAGTTCGGGCAATCTGCAAGCTTAGGGTTTAGGGTTTAGGGTTTAGGGTTTAGGGTTTAGGGTTTAGGGTTTAGGGTTTAGGGTTTAGGGTTTAGGGTTTAGGGTTTAGGGTTTAGGGTTTAAGGGGCTTAAAAAAACCGAAAACACAGCAAAGGAGCTTCGGGGGTCAACTTGAAGCTCAGGAACTTCGTGACCAAAAAAACTGAAGAACCTATGGGCTCTTTTTGGGGTCTCCACACTTCAGCGATGTCCTCCTCTCAAGTCCTTAATAATAGAACCTAGCTTCTTTTTCCTTTTTTTTTGGTAGGGGGGGGGGGGGGGGGGGGAAGGTGAGGGTGTTGTTCTAGTGTAATTATATAGGGGTCTCAGGGGAGTAGTCTTAGTTAATTCTTCCGACCCCTGTATTGCCCCCTAAACCCTAAACCCTAAACCCTAAACCCTAAAGCCACTTCAGGGTCCCATTGACGAAAGCAGGCCGATGCTGGCCGGTGGTGGCGAAAGCCCAGCAAGATCCGCAATGTCCCTGGAGAGGCTTTAGGGTTTAGGGTTTAGGGCTTGGGGTTTAGGGTTTAGGGAGTGGAAAGCGCTAGGGAACGAATAGACGTTCGCTGCCGCCTTGACATCCTTAGGGTACGTAGCATCTAAGGTCCATCTTAAGGGACCCAGTATGCCCCCTATAGCAACATGTTACTCTCGGACCTCATTCCTATCACAATTCCGTTTCACATGCCACTGCTTTGACTCATGCGTGCCATGCAGGAGTGTCGACAACAGCATGTGAAAGTGCTGACGCGCAAACTCCTGCACGAAGCGCGCCTGGTTCTTCGCCGGGGACACGACACATGGTTCGGAGTCACGCCAATCCAAACTCTTGGGGAACTTCTCAGCCTGGCACAGTTGAAAGAAAGGATTGTGCATGTGCTCTAAGGTTAAATCCCGAACACTATGAACCCTAAACCTAAGCCCTACACCGCCGACCACATGAACCCTCACAACTCCACCCCAAACCCCTGCCTTAATGTCCAAGTGTATCGCCTTTGTTGGGCTCCATTCGTTCGTTTCGCTAATGCTCTCACACACAATTCTCTCTCCAGAGAACAGTATATGGGAGTGATTGAGTGAGTGAGCAACCGCCTATATTGCAGGAAACTGAAGGCGATTCTACAAATAATAATAATAATAATAATAATGATAACAAATAATCATAATAATAATAATAACAAATAATAATATGCTTACTGCCCAAAAAACCCATGCAATAAAAAAATGTTAGGGGCGTCCGGTCCAACAGGTGCCAGCCATTCCCCACCAACTACTACTCGCTGGATCGTGGAATCTGAACTCCTCAAACTGCCAAACCCCCAAAACCCCTTCTTGGACCCTAATACCCCACCCCCCCCCTCCCCGGATTGCCCAGGCAAAGACAAAGAACCCGCAGAATAAAATTAAACACCATCGGATTAGGATGGAGGGCCCTGAGGCCCGAAAAAAGAACCGGCAGAATAAGAATAAAAACCGTTACCGACGGCGAAAAAGGGAAAACACCCCGAGAATAACAAAACACAACATGCACTTTCTTTTTTGTTTTATGATTTTGTGTTTACATTCTTTGTTTGTTAATTTTATTTTCGATTATATGATTATGTTTTTGTATTTCATTATCTTCTATAGAAATACTACATTTTATTGTCTTAGTTGTATGATTTTCTTGTTAAGTTATAATCTTAATTTGGGCTTTGGCAAACGAAGTGCGTGTAAGAACACGAAATGAAGCGTGAGAGAGGCGACGGTTAGACCTGTTAGAAGTTAGGGTCTCAAGGTGTGATGGGTGCTGCGGTTGGACTGGTCTCTAAGCCGGTTACTACCTGAAGGCAGTAAGACTCAGACCCAGATCAACCATTTTCAGGAGCTAGGGATAGGCACCAGAGCATGTGACTGCCTTCAATAGTAATATGTGTGAAGCGTTCGAGGGTTCGATGCTGTTCGTGAGCTTACCGATTTTCATTGCTAAAATCGCCAGCACATGCAATAAACTTTATGAGAGGAAAAAGGCCCGCATATTAATACAATGCTTTTTGGCTTTCGCTTTTCACTTTTACAATCACTAGTATCAGTATTACAGCTTTATATATTCCTATTTCACTGGCCCGTGTCACTTGGTCACTCATTGGCTTCGCTCTCTAACGGTAACGGTGGGTGTCGGTGGGACCGGGAATAATGTTTTTGGTATGATAGGAACGGCAGGGAATGGTAATGGTGCATGGGGATTGGTGGGGAATGGCGGGCAGTGGTGGGGAATGGTGGGGATGGTGGAAGTGGCGGGTACTGAGAATGGTGGGAATGGCGAGCTGGTGGGCATGGTGGGAAATGGGAACGGCGGGAATGCCGAGTTGGTGAGTAAATGTTGGGCGGAAATGCTGGGTAATGGTAGGGATGGAGAGTGGTGGATGGTGAGGTGGGTCGACGTCAGGTGGTGGGTGAGGGTTGGGTATAGTGGTGGGAATGCTCGCCGGACGGTGGCGGGCAGTGGTGGGTATGGGCCGTGGGGTTGGTGGCCGGTAGAGACTGGTTGGTACTATGGGAGAATGGCGGAAATGCTACATGGTGGCTGGTACTGGCGGGAAAGGCGGGAATGGTGGAAATGGTGAGAAGGGCGGGTTCTTGGACTGGTGGAAATGGCGCGTAGTGATGCGAATGGTGGGATTGCGGGGGATGAAAGGTTTGTAATGGTGGGGATGGCGACGGCAATATGGCCGGGAAACGGTGGGAATTGGGAATGATGGTTTATGGTGTGATGGGGAATGGTCTTCCATGGTGGGTTGTGCATGGGCGTTCGGGGAATGGTGGGGGTGTGGGGTGGGGGGGGTGGGGGGGGTGGGGTGGCGGGGGTGGGGTGGGGGTGGTGGGGGGGGTGGGGTGGGGGGATGGGGGGTTGGGGGGGGGGGGGCGTGGGTGAGAATAAACTGCCAAACCTGGGGGATAAGAATGCCAACAGGTGGAATAAGAAATGGAACCTCTGAATGCCCTGAAGAAACTCGAATTCCAAAAAACCCTGCGAAATCCTTGGCCGGCCCAGAAAGAATAAGAAAAAAACCATCAGGATCAACATAAATACGCAGCCCAAAAAGGAAAATCTTTGTTGTTCATATAACCATGCATGTAATAACATACTGGCACAATAGAAATATGAATGCAAAAACTTAAGAAAACAAGCATATACAATGTCTTAACAAATCATATATATTACGGAACAATGTTGAAACTTGATATCACAATCGTGAAATAACATGACATTATACAATATAACGTTATACAAACAGAACAATCCCACAATGCTGCAATACAATGGTGCATTAGTATATGCTGCTAGGTATACGAACATGCTAGCATACTAATATCATGATAGAATGATCTAATAATCTAGTAATCCAACAACCTACTAGTCTAGTAATCTAATCAAGTATTTGTACCAGAGTATAAGAATGGTGATATACTTATCGAATGACGTAACGATATAATACGATAATGACATAATTATGTATAGTATAATTTTCACGGTACAAGAATAGACAAATGCCATGATATAGCGAGCAGAAAACATACTTCTACACTCCCCCTAGAACCTTAATAACAATAATGTTTTCAATATACTCTTGGGTTTTTTTATAAGCAAAAGATACTTGCCAAGGGGGATATAGACTTTTTGAGCCTGCAAAGCTGCAAAACTCGGTACTTGCTGCGAGGGTCTTGTACGAGACATGCTGCCCTGAGCTCCACGACCCTGAGCCCCAGCCTGATCCCTTAGGCTCACACAGGGTTTAGGGTTTAGCGTTTAGGGCCCGAAAACCCTCTGAGCCGCCAAATCCTAAGGCCCTGAACGTCCCTTAGAAGCAGCGAGTCCTTGTGAGGCATCATGGGCTCCACCTTCGACCAAGCGGAATTCGGGGAGGCTCTTCGGGGCTTCTCATATTGGGGTTCGGGATGCCCATATTTTAAGAACTGCCCATTTACAGGGGTATTATTCTGACATCAGAGCTGCACTAGTTGCGTTGAGGTTTCATGGAGGGACTCATCAGGGCTTCAGTAGAGCCTCTTGTCAAGGACCAAGTGCAGTGTCGAAATTTGGGGTTGCGGGCTTCGGGCTGCGGAAAAGCATGTCATCGCACCCCTTTGGGTCACTAAAGCAGCGGAGCTGCTTTGAACGTTTTGCCTGCGCCTGCCCTCCAAAACGGGACATCCACATATAGACTTACCAGTATAAGAACCCTATGTATACAAACGTACATTGGGATGTCCCCCCCTTACTCTAACAGTCCTCAATAGGGACCCACTCTTCTGATCCCTATTAAGAACTGTTAGTATAGTCAAGGGGAACATCCCAAGATATACATATATACATATAGGACAGTAACGTAAGTAGGGGTCAGACTTCACATAGGAACTGGCTTGCGTCACGGCCCTCCACGCAAATAGGCCGACCCTCAACCCGAAACCGAACGAAAGCAACCTAATGTCAACGTAGTCAGAGACTCCAAAGACCCAAACCTCTGGAATCATTTTGGTGGTTCTTTGGCAGGGCCCGCTTCTGGTGGGGCGTGACAGATTGGCGAAAAAAAGCTTCTATACCCCCGAAAAGGAACCCCATACTGACGTGGCGCAACCCTAAACCCTAAACCTTACACCCTAAACCCTAAACCCTAAACCCTAGACCCTAAACCCTAAACCCTAAACCCTAAACCCTAAACCCTAAACCCTAAACCCTAAACCCTGAACCCTGAACCCTAAACCCCAACTCAAATTTACTGAACCATAAAACCATGAACCTCCAAAGCCCAGCCTTGAAAGCAGAGACTTCCTTCTTCATCTTCTTCAGACCCCTCAAAGATTTGAGCTCCTTGTGGGGCTAGGGGTTTCGGGTTTAGGGTTTAGGGTTTAGGGTGTAGGGTTAAGGGTTAAGGGTTTAGGGTTTAGGGTTTAGGTGACTTACGGCATACCCTAGAACTTATTGAGGTTTCGGAGGGCCTTTGCATTTGCAATTCGTCCGATAGTTTCCTGTGCTTGTTGTTCGGGTTTGGGGCCCTCCTGGACGGTGTTGACTCCTGCTTCGTCCCTAAACCCTAAACCCTAAACCCTAAACCCTAAACCCTAAACCCCTAAACCGTGTGGTCCCGGGTTTTTACGGCACATGTCCAAAGCCTTCTTCCGGAAACTAGTCAGTGGATGACCCAGCTTCTGAGTTCAGCAATCTGAGCTGAGGCCTTGGGATCCATATACATATATGCACATATATATATATATATCTATATACATACATACATGCAAAATGTGTTATAATGTGTGCATATATGTATGTATATATATATATGTAAATATAAATATATATATATATATGGTCACCCCCCCCTCGACAGACCCCGGAAGTATATTTCCGGTCTGTTCAGGAAGGGGGGGGGGGGACAAGCACCACTCCAAAATTCCTCGAGTTTCCAAAAATCCAAAAATCCAAAAAATCCAGCCCAGGGTTCCGCTTTTTGGAAACTCGAGCGGGAGCCTCAAAATCCGAAAAACCGAGCAAATTCCTCGAGTTTCCAAAATTCCAAAATTCCACAAAAAACCCACCCCAAGGTTTGGATTTTTGGAAACTCGAGCGGGAGCCTCAAAATCCCAAAATCGAGCAAATTCCTCGAGTTTCCAAAATTCCAAAAACCCAAAAAAACCCACCCCAAGGTTTGGATTTTTGGAAACTCGAGCGGGAGCCTCAAAATCCAAAAATCGAGCGAATTCCTCGAGTTTCCAAAATTCCAAAAAAACCCACCCCAAGGTTTGGATTTTTGGAAACTCGAGCGGGAGCCTCAAAATCCAAAAATCGAGCAAATTCATCGAGTTTCCAAAATTCCAAACCTTGGGGTGGGTTTTTTTGGATTTTTGGAATTTTGGAAACTCGAGGAATTTGCTCGATTTTTGGATTTTGAGGAAGTTCCTCGAGTCTCCAAAATTCCAAAATTCCAAAAACTCCAACCCAAGTTTCGGATTTTTGGAAACTCGAGCGGA